ATGGATGGTCTTTCACAGATGCAAAAATTACAATTGCATTTCTCGACACCTGTTAGTGATGTCTGAGATTTTCCCCTGGCTACAGAGTGAAAAATGGCGTACATGTTATACAGGAAATAGTGAACGACTGAATAAGACTGTGTCTGTTTTGTTTTTCAGAACAAAGCCTTTGTTGGGTAAAACACTGCTAACATTTGATCACCTCTCAGGAGATTTTGTGTGGTTGCACTTTAATGTTGTTTGCTGCATACCTATGTTGGCCATCTCCGGCACCATGGCAACATAAGGTTCATTGGGGAAGACAGGTGGGTTGTCGTTGATGTCCTGAACTCTGATGATGAACTCAGAGGACGGCTCCAGGGCTCGGCCGGTCTCACGGTCTGTAGCAGTCGCGACGAGACGATACTGGTCTTTCTCCTCTCGGTCCAGAGACTTGGTGACATGTATGTTGCCCGTCTTGCTGTCGATCACAAACACAGAGCCCACTCCCTCTCCCTCCAACATGTATTTAGTGCTTCCGTCTCCTTTGTCCATATCCGTGTGCAGCTGGAAAAACAAATACATACAGACTAAATGGCTTTAACACTTTCATGCAACATTACCTACAGATGCTGATGACGGTATCACTCTTTAACACTTGCATTTGTTTAGCAGATACCACAAACCTGACTATGTGAAATGAGTGATTTATGCTAAGGCAGGATGGGCTCACTGAATCTAAAATGAATGGCACCAGGTGTGGAAGATACATATGGGACGGGGATGAGTACTGATGCATACAGCTAATTAACTCAATGGACCAAACATGCCATCGGGGGTTTGTTGAGGGCAAATCCACATCAGTGTGGACAGTGGCGCTGCAAATGTCATATATGTATGCTCACAGATGCATTCTGCTAAGTCAAGCACTATCCATCTGTAAATCTTTCTGTCTCTTCCATCCATCTGTCTCTTTCCTCCCCTTCTCGTAAATCCATCTGCCTGACTTGCCTTTACCTTATAAACCAACTCGTTTTCCAGTCCTTGTTTTTCTCCCTTTTCATCAACTTACCTCGCTTACTCAGAATGCCCATCTGCTCGCAATTCTCCTTCTTTCTCGCTCTCTCCCTCTGTCTGGCTGTTTTGCTCCGTGGTGCAGAATACTGGTTTGGTATTTAATGGCAGCGAGGATATTAGTGTGAGCTTGATAGGTAAAAGGCCGAACACACAAAAATAGAAAGCTAAAGAGATTACTCAGCCTTCATCACACTGAGCTTTCTGACCGAGAACCTTCACATTTCTCTATCCTCAAGGCCCATCTGCACATGTTCATAATCCACAAGGCTTATTCACAGTCTTTGCAGTGGACCTTAGATACTCATGAGAGCCTTGACTTTCAATTGCAGCTGCAACATTGTCTGTTTACAAATGTGCAGAGCAATTGCACACGATTGTTGCCAGGCTTATTCATTTTGTGGCGCAAAAAATTGTTTGTGCAACACAAAAATAGACAAGTTTAATTGCCTACATAATGATTAACATAGAGTCATTTGTGTGGTTAAGACAGCTGCCCACCTTAAAGTGAGAACATGTGTTAGAAAAAAATTTGCACATAAATGCATTTAAAGTGCAGATTTACACACTATTGTCTGTCCCACAGCACAGCATTCAAGCAGAGATCAAGGAAAAATATAAGATTAGTGTATATTGTGTGTGTATATGTGATGTGCATGTGTTGGAAGGATGAAGTTGGGATTATACATACTCACGATAGCATACCCTACAAATTGCTAGATAAGGGATTCAGGTTTTTTTTTTATTCATCTCTTACCCACCCCCTTCTCCCTCCTTTCTTCTTTAAAGCTAGCTTTGATTTTGATCCCACACTTCACCACGAGAGACATCTTTGTCAGAGTCTGTGCCCACCTCGCTCCCCTGCCCCCCCCTTGCTTCCCACTTTCTATCCAGACCTCCTCTCCTCACTGTCTAATTGCTGGCTCAGTCCTGCTGCGCTTCAGTCAGCATGGAAAAACACTCTCACTGTGGGGAAGAAATTTATCCACCCCGTACAAGCAAAGCAAGAAAAAGAGGGAACTGTCTCTTCCAATCCCTTTGTCACTTTCTCTCTCACTCTGTAATCTCAATTTTCCCCTCCTCTCACTCATGCAGTACATACACCTCCGGGTTTATATCTGCTCCACACTGCTTTCCTTGCAAGAGAAACTCTTTCTTGTTTCGCACGGGTGGTGGCACCTGTGATTTGAACTGTTGATAGCTCACCTCAAACCTTGCACCGACAATGGCTTTGACATGATCATCTCTCTATTTCTGGCAAACAAAATGAGCCACCTCTGAGAGAAAACACTGTGCTTCTGAACTCCTCGCAACGGAAGCATGCTTTATTACATGAATATCAACATCAAGACTTTACTTGCAGAGAAATAAACAGTCCCGCGTGTCTATTGATTGCTTTAACACCCCTCCCTGACTGTACCAATAACAACCACAGTGGAAGATTAAACATTTATGAGGTGTATACCGCACTGGTAAGAATCCAATCTAGACTGTCACTATAAAGTATACTGCGAGCTACAAAGTGGTTGGCAGAATTCCCTGTTAGCGTTACAGCTGATATAATCCAACTCTGAGTATGCCGTAGCTGCCAGCAGTTGCATTAGCGTGGAGCTTCTAACTGTGAAGTGCTACAAGTAAACCCCTGGGATTGAATGGTTCAGGTGTGCAGTGGATTAAATCATCTCAGACACTCTTCATGTTGCGACACAGACAGCAGTTGAGGCTTGCTGGTGTGCTGATGGTAGAAATTCAAGTATGTGACTTGACGAGTGGGGATGGTGACGCATAGACAGTGCGATCTGATCTGTGCCTCACTTTCAAGCATGCAGTGGAACATTTTTAACATTGCAAATATGTTTTTTGTTTGTTTTGCAAGCACATGAATTGTAAATTGAGAGAATTTTTTGTAAAGCTAAGAAGATAAATATACTTCATTGGGTGAACTTTGTTAGTAATTGGTTGCACCCCCTTTTACCTTTTGAACTGCGTGAATTCTATTTGGTATAGATTCAACAAGGTGCTGGAACGATTTTTCAGAGACTTTTGGACCCTATTGACACGACAGCATTGGATGTCATTTGCAGCTGACTTGTCGACTGCACATCCACGATGGGAATTTTGTCACATCCCATCCTACATCTCGATTGGATTGAGATCTGATGACTGTGGAGGCCATTTAAGTTTAAGATTATATGAGCTTGTGATGCCGTGTCTTATCCTACTAGAAGTAACTGGGTACACAGTCATGATATGACATAAAGGATAAGACATAAAGGTCATGAATGGACATGGTCAGCAACAATACTCAGGTGGAAAACGGCTTTTAAACAATGTTCAGTTGGTACTAAGAGGCACAAAGTCTGCCAAGAAAATAGCCCCCACACCATTACACCACCACTATCAGCCTGAAGTGTGATACAAGGAAAGATGGAAATTGGGACGCAACGTTTGTCCAATCTTCTTCTTGACAACTTTGGTGAGTCGGTGTGAATTTCCTATTATTCTATATAGCAGTGGCACCTGGTGTAGTATTTGCTGCTGTAGCCCATCTGCTTTAAGGTTCAATGTGTGGCACATTTAAAGATGCTCTTCTGCATACATTGGTTGTAATGAGCGCTTATTTGAATTACAGTTGCCCTCCTATTAACTCAAAGCAGTCCAGCCTGTCTTCTCTGACCTACAGTCTCAACAAGACATTTGACCACGTCTACGTGCCTGAATGTACTGAATTGCTATCATATCAACCTAATAAAGGGGCAGAGGACTGTAGATTGTTCACTTTTCTTTTCTTTTTTTGGGGGGGAGGGGCTGGGTATATTTTCTTAATATACATGGTACCAATTTTCCTTGTAATATCTTGGTGAATAACATAAGGCGAAATTTTATAATTAATGTTTTATATGACAGATTTGCCTGCAACTGAATCGCTAGTACTTCAGTATTCATTGGTGACATACATCCATTAAGAATTGCCAAATGTCAGCATAGGCATACACGTAATTAGTTGATGGTACTGGTTATAAACTTAATTTTATACATTTCTGTCTGTACTTCATTAAGCTTGGAAGATATGTCTTTTTGAAAGCTCACTAATTTAAATTCTGAGAAATAAATGCCCAGACAATTGATGCATGTACCAACAAAGGGAGCTTTAGCCAATACTAGTCTAACAGGCCCAACTTCTGATAAAGTGAATCTCTGAACTGGACCTCGCCACTGTTTATGGTGTTTTTAATGGATTTATATAATCAATAACATGACCTACTGTGTGAAGTCACTCAAGAAATTTCCGAGGATACTGTAATACATTTTTGGTCCGTTACTTAGCACTAATTAAAAGATATGTGTGGGTGTGCATTGAGTCCATACATTTTATAGATGCAGCTTTGTGTTAGCTGATAACTTAGCACGCCATCTTCTCGTCCAAATAACTTCTGGCTCAAAAACTCCAACATTGGCCAGCCTTACTCCTGTGATCAAAATGTGTCCAAAACCATATATGCAGTTTAACATGATCTTTTATTATTTTTAGTTTCCTGTTTTGACTAATAAGTCAGTTAGCGGTGCAATAATTCATAGGTTTTTTGTATATACAAAAATCGAAGGCCAAATTTCCTGACAATCTGCTCAGGTGGAGAATTATCTGTTCGCTAAGATGAACCAAACGTTAGTGGTTGGTTCATTTAGAAAAACAAAACATGTAATAAGAGAGGATGAAATGATAAATGATGAATAAAAGACAGACTAGAAGGAAAAAGAAGAAAATAGGTGGAGGACTGATAGCCAGTCATTGGACAAAAGCCATAAGCGGGAAAGTGATAACACACAGCAAGCATGACAGGCCATCAATTTTATGTTTAATATATTTGGCCAGTGCAAATTAATAGCTTTCAACATTGTTTTCTTTTAAACCCTTTTCTTTTATTAATAGTGGCTGGTTAAACATGTCGCTCTCCTTATTTCTGTACACACACACACACACACACAAACACACACACACACACACATATATATATATATATATGTATATGGTCTTGGGCATTTCTACTTTGTAGAGCGTAAATAATTACAGGTAGGAAATTTTTAATGAATCCCTGCTTTGTGTGTAGTATATTTGTGTGCAGGTTTTAAGCACTGATTTGTATGTATGAACAGTGAATGAGGCTCAAACAGGAGCTTGGGGACACACAGAGGAGAGGATGAGAGAGAATAAATGAAGCAGAGTGGAAAGGTTGTCATTGTGAAATTATTTGGACAAAGAAAAACATGTAAATAAATGAATGCACTGCGAACAGAAAAGATTTATGTAAATACATGTATTGAGCACGGGAGAGATTTCTGTTTGCTCCAATTAAACCTTTTGCGTGGCAATAACTTATCTATAAAAATGATTGTGCTTGCAAAAATCTTTGTTGGTTCTCAAAAATAAGGCGCAATTTACATTTATGTTGTAATACAGTGAGATTCAGGTGATTCGCATGTGCATGCTGACTGGTTGTGCCGACAGCTTACCCGTCCAATGAGCACAGGCTCAGGCCCTCTGTACTCCTCAATCACAAAGAACTGGTTCCAGAGCCAGCTCCTACGGCGGCGGGAGTGAGGCAGCAGGTAAGGCTCTGACTGACTATGTTCAGACTCTGTGACCCATTTAGAGAGGCCCCGTAGCCTCTCAGGCTGAACGTCACCGACACCTGTCTCCAAATAGAGTCGAGGCTGGAGAGCGTACTCCTCCTCTGAGCTTGGCACTAGACTGTGATCATTAATTACACCTTCAACCTCTCCATTAGTCAAATTGTTCCTTTTCTCACGGTTCACACTGAGTTCAGAGCTAAGTTTAGGTATAAGAGGTTTGGCAGAAGAATCTGAAGGTTTAAGTCTCATGCCGATTTGCTTTGCTGCATTCCTCTTAAAGTCAGAATCATTAGGTTTGCTGTCATTTAGTTGAAAAGCCACATTTGGCAGAGTTCTTGCATCACTCTCTGAAGCCTGTACATGGTTTTCCAATTCTTTGATTCCAATAAAAATTTTGTCCAGGGACTTTGGATGATGTAAAACTTGTTGCTTTTTGTCTGATATTACTTGAGAATCCGGATCCTCCTCTGAAAGGCCGACAGCCTCTGAGATGCCGTGTCTTTCCCATTTGCAGAATAAAAGAAAAAGAAGCACAACATGTGCTGCCATTGCTGAGGTTCACCGATCACTTTGTCTTGTGAAGTGGCTGACAAAGGGCTGATCAGCTGCCGGTTTTTATGATGGTTTATTTCCAGCATGCCTTCGTCCTGCCCCTGCTTCGGTTCTTCCGCCTCTCTCCCTGGTGTTTGTCTTCATTTCGGCTTCTTTACTCACATATTCCCATGCAGTGCACATGCTGCAGAGGCTCACCTGAGAGAAGACATAATTAGTGCAATCTTGACTGTATTCATTATTATGAGAAACAAGTGCTTTAAGATACAGAAGTGAAAAGACACAAAAAAGTCTGCCATCACACTCATTATATGAAGACGAGATTTTTTTCAGGACATATTTAAAGATAAATGTTTGTTCTGCCGTTTGCTCAACAGCTTTATTTGCTAATCTGAGCCTTCTGCCAGCTGCTGTGCAAATAACTGTGAGTTTTGAACAGAAACTATGATAATTACGTCTCATAAGAAGTTACCTGAAAAGGACAATTCGCTTTGTACCTCATACTGTTGATGATATTCCTCTCATTGGCGTTTTGTGCGATTCTGGTTATTGATCTCATTCTCAGAAAGGTAAGTGCGGTCCTAAAAAATTTCAATTAATTCAGAGCCTGAAGGTACGGCGATGAGGTGGAGCTCAGGTACTTTACTGCTCCTTGTCACACGCAATTGCCTGGACAGCAGATGATTGATGCCATCCCTAAAGATGGTCTACCCATGCTTCAGTGGCCAGTTCTGAAACAAGTTCCCCTTAAGAGATTAATTAGGCTCATAAATAATTTAATCAATGACTTGTCCTCATTTCCCTAAAGTTTAATGATCTGCTTTTTGTCAGTATTTGAGTCAGATCTCTGGCCATTGATCTTTGAAACTTGATGCAGTGCAAAGTGTCAGCAACTTAACAAGATCCAAAACTATACGACAGTACATCCATGTCCCACATGGATCCATCACTCTGGCTCACTTTTTCCCTGCAATGAACGTTCTGACAGCTGCTTTCACCTTTATGCATGCATGGACTCATGCATTATCATCTTTGAACAGCAAAATACATGAGTCATGGGTACACAGGGAGGCAGTCTTCAAACATATGTAAATAAAGTTTTCATGCGTTTTTCTTCTGAACAGATTTGGAAGCTAAAATTCTTAAAAATAATGTAGAGATTTCCCTGCATTTCATGCAAATTTTCAATAATTTGGCTAGAGGACATAAAATACAGTGCACACTGGGAAGACTAAATCCCCTGGCATCATCTGACTTAATAAATGTACAGAGCACCAAGTACTTTGATAAATTTTGAGGGAACGTGGCACAAAGTTGGCCTATAGAAATGCAGTAGGCTTTGATGGTTTCTATAATATGAACCAGAACATTTCTTAACCCCAACATTTTCTGATACGATATGCTGCATGGGCACATTAAAATTAAGCCAATGTTCTTTCTTCTCTGCAGATAGTGACCCACTTAAAGAAGTACACTTGAGAACAGAGACAATTTGAGCTTTGATCACAGGAAATATTAAGTAATTTCTGCCCTTTTTACATCATTATTTTTCCCTCAAATGGCAATCCACCCTTAATTATTTTTGCTGCATTTTGCGCACCAAATTTATCAAGTCATCCACATGTAATGCTTCATGTTCATCATCGGCATCTGTTTGCCGGTTTCCCAAATCTATGGAAATACAAAAAGTGGCTCTTCCAAAACACTTTTGTCTTCCTCAGCTATTGTGCATTAGCATAGACTGAGCTTATGGCTTACATTTCTCTCTGCCAGCTTTGGTCCAAAACCCATGTTGCCAGCAGTACATGTCATTCACCGTTGTTTGAAGTCTTTAGAGTAAGGGTGTGTGTGTGTGTAAGATATGTGTGAAATGTAAGGCAAGGGATAGAGGATGAAAGCGTGAGGACGATTTGCTGTTGCTGGCTCAGAATGGAATGATGAGTGGTGACATAGCTCTAAATTGCAAATCGCTGTTTCAGTCTCACTTCACTCTGCATCGAGATGCTTCACTGCAACAAGGCTATTCCGTTTTTATTAAAAATAGCCTGTGCATGTCAGGCCTCTTACATAGGAAAAATGGGAGATGGGGGCATAAAGGAGGCAGAGCAGGGGAAGTGGTAGTGGAAGTACACTGGGGAGGGGGGTGAGGGGAAATGGGTGGCTTAAACATCCAGGATGTGGACAGATTCTGCTCCATTTGAACATCTCTGGCTTACCCTCCTTTTGCCATTCGTCTTAATGCCCACAGACCTCTCATCCATTCTCGCTGGCTCAGTGCACACAGGGAAATCTCTTAAGTCTATCCAAGTCAGACTGGTGAAGAGAGGCCCACTGTACTCAGCACATCAGTCACTTCATTATTGTCAAGGTTTGACACACCAGACAACTTAAGTGAGCAAATGCCCTGTGATAAGTCAGTGTTTAGCCATGTTTTATTTGTCATGTGAAGAGGCAGTGTAATATTACCAGAATTTTACATATGATAGTCAACTCCCACACTCCGTTTTATAGGGGGCGCTCTTGAGAGAGTCGAGAACTAATGGAGCCCTGTGGAGCAGTAGAAATGTAAATAATTTTCTTGGAACAATTTTTACCATATTTCTGACAGAAGGGGTGCAGCTCCATTTTAACATTGTTTTTGTAATCACTTTTAACTCAAGTAAAACACTTTTCTGTAAGTATTACGCACTGCAATATGAGAAATTTACAGAGAATTTCATTTTGACCAGCACAACCAGCTGCTTCTTTCATGGTTTACTCTAACCACTCTTCTATAATATAGTTATCATCTGTCAATGGCTGCCATTAAGGCAGCGTGGCCTGTAGTAGCTCCTTAACAGAAAAATCAGCAAGTATTGGGAAATTCTAGCTTTTTATCGTTAAAATCACCTTCATTATAAGAAAAACGCAAGGACATAAGCACTGTTCTGTATTTCACCAAAGAAAATTATTGATACCGTGTTAGAAAAGGCTAAAACAATAAATGGACTAGCCACGTAATTCCACTCATTTCTATTCATTGAGCACCATCTCATGAGCGCCCCCTACTGACTTGCCAATTTTCGTACAGTGGGATAGATTGGAAGTGGAATGTTTCTCCCTGATCGGCTGTGATATTACATTCGCCACAACACGTGACACAGCTGCTTGGTCACGGATACACACAAACCAGTTTACATGCACGCGCACACTCACATCTGGACGCTCATTAGCATATCTAGTAGAGATATACTAAACAGCCCGGAGCGTGACCTTGCCTTGCTGGAAGAAGCCAGAAAAATGACCTACTTGATGCATGTTAATGTGATTTACACACTTGGGCTAACTATTATAATGAATGCAACGTCCCCCAAATTCCGCTTTCGGCAACTTAACCGAGGTCCAGCGACCTCATTCATTTTTGCAAACGAGCGTCCCCGCGCCAAAGTGCACGCGGCAGGTGAGTACGAACGGCGCGCGCACACACATAGACAAAAATTACCTACCTACCCGGGAAATTAAGAGGGAAAGCACGGCGTCATCCGTACCATCTGTCAAAGCTTGGCGCTCAATTCAGTCACCCAAAATAATTGTCTGTTTTTCCAGACTCTTCTCTCAGCCCACCATTATTTCACCTAAACAGATCGCAGATATCTACTACAAACAGCTTTAAACTGACAGAGAAACAGTTGGAAACCGCCTCGACCCGGTTAAAAGCCTCCAAAAAAACGCCGACAATTTGGACGATAAAGTGGAGAGCTGAGCTGAGCCGAAGGCTGGAAACTTGTCTGTGTCAACTATTGAATTCTGAAGATTTAGAAAAAAAAGTCAATTATGAGAGAAGCTTACCGTGTGTTTGCGGTTTTGCTCCGGTGGTCTTCTGGTTTAACGGGGCTGAAATGATCCAACGTGGGAAAGGATGCCGAGGTTCATCTGAGCTCAACGTGAGGTCTGTCCACTTAGCCCAGTCTCTCTCTCGCTCTCTCTCTCTACGTCTAACCCTCCCTCCCTTCCTCCGTCCCTCTCTCTCTGTATACCTCTCTCTATTTTCCCTCTCTCCATTACTTTGTAACTATCACACAACGACCATAGTCACTCTAAAAGCCTACTATTTTTGAAATAGCGGCCACTGAGTGCCACAAAGACAAACTGTTAGTCTCATAGTGATGTACTTGGACAAAATATGTGGGTATAGATTTCGCTTGAGCATTGGCGACATCATGTAAAGGAGCATGGGGTCCTCCCCTAGGAATTTCTTAATTTGCTTCATTCTGTTTTTTTCTGCATCATTTCTGCGTATTTATTAGTACAGTGGAAAACACGCACAAAAAAAAAAAACATGTTTCAGGTAAACATATAGTGAAAGATCATGCAGTCGGTCTCTTAGGCATTTTGTGCTGAATTCAAATCATTCCCCATTTTTCTCATTTAATATTATCCCCGCTGAGTCAACACAAATGTGCAGATGATTAAGTCTTCTGTCCTTCTTGCCGTTTGCAGGGAGAGTCAGAGTGCAGCAGACTGACAGTTCTGTGTGATATCAAGCTGCTTTCGTGCCTTTTTTCTTTTTGTTGGTGGAACCTGCTCAAATGTGCGTGTGACAGCACGTGTCCGTGATGAATTACTTAAATTTATGAATTCCTATTCAGTAGCTCAGATATGTTTCAGCCGGATTTCTGCTTGAGTTCATTCACTTTTTTAGGTATACCTCTTTAATTTCTTCTTAATGCAATTAGCCAGTTATATGGCAGTGCATTTGGTCCTGTCGACCTGCTGAGGTTCAAAACAAGCAGAAGAAAGGTAATTTAAATGACTTTGAAAGTGGCATGGTTGTCGGTGCCAGACTAACTCATCTAAAACTGCCGATCTGCTGGGATTTTCCCACCCAAACATACAGAGAAGGGTCCAGAAAGGAGAAATTATCCAGCGAGCTGCAAGTCCCTTGGTGAAAATGCTTTATTGATGCCAAAGGGCAGAGAAGAATGGCCAGACTGCTTCGAGCTGATAAGAAGGAAACAGTAAACTTAAATAACCACTCAGGATTAGAATTTGGCGTAAACTGCATGAAAGCATGGATCCATCCCGCCTCATAGCAGCGATTTTGGCTGCTGCTGGGGGTGTAATGGGGGATATTTTCTTGGCTCACTTAGTAGTGAGCGTCTTTTAAATGCCACAGCCTACCTGAGTATTGTTGTTGACCATATCCATCCCTGTTATGACCTCGGTGTACCCACTCTGTAATACCTCCTTCAAACAAGATAACGCATCTTGTCACAACGCTTAAATCATCTCAAACTGTTTTTTTGATCAGCACAATAAGTTCACTGTACATAAATAGCCTTTACAGTCGCCAGATCTCAATGCAATAAAGGACTTTTAGGATTAGATACAAAGGGAGATAAGCATCATGGATGTGCAGGTGAGAAATCTGCAGCAACTGTGTCTACATGGACCAAAATCTCTAGGTGCTGCTGGCACCTTGTTGACTTTGTCTCTGCTGCATATACATCTCACCTATGTAACGTAGTCTATCTCAAAACCAGATTTGAGATACAGGCAGTATTATCTTGCAAAAAGGTGAAGAAGCTTACAACTTACTTTTTTGAGAAAAATGCACTAACATTGATTCTCCTCTTTTTCTTTCTGGCACCTTCATTGTTATCGACCTGTCTGCGTGTGCATAGAGCCAGAAGAGAAAAGACATTGTACCGCTGCTGACTGAGATAAAAAAAAGCTGTGTATAATCACATTTCTAATCATGTCCCAAGTGTTAAAAAAAAATTGAAGTAAAAAGGTTAGCACCAGTTGATGGCACTGGTGCCTCACTGAGAACTGTCACAGCAATTTTTTAAAACAATTAATTGTTATGCTTCTTTCATTTCTTTTTTATTGGTAGAAACAAATGCATCTCCTGTAAATATCACTACTGTCCATCTGCGTCCCCAGCTGAAATAATCTACATCTATGACGAAATATCTTCAAAAACATAGCAGGTGTTGTTTAATTGCCTTCAGTAGTTCCTGGTTAGGTGTTGTGGCTTCTTTGAAAGCCGTGTGGTGTTTGTTTAATCTGCCTAAATGTAGCTAGTCTGCATAATCAACTTCAATGAGTTTGCATTTCTCCCAGTTGCTTCACCTAGAAGCAGGAGCAGAAAATTGTCACTCAGAGATGCATTAAAAGAGGCATTTTTGCCAGCTGCGTTCTCTCATTTGCTAAAAACATTTGTGCGACTGTAATTACCACCCTCGCCACACTTCATAGCATATTTTATTTCAGTTTGAGATGTGTTTTCCATATACAACATCAATCTGAAATTTTAAGCTGATTTTTGTGGTAACTGTTTTTTGTTTTTTTGGGCTGAGTAACTTCCAACCAGAAATGTGCAAATTTTCAAGGACAAACAAAAGCACTGCAAAACAGGAATGTTAAATTGTTAATCTTACAGTTGTGTGTTTTCTGTGCTTGATTTATCCCTCAACTGTTTTGGATATTTTTAATTTAAAAGAATTTATTTTTCACACTGCAGCAGAAACATGCGTTTCAGTACCTGAATGAGGTAAAAAGTAATCATCTACAGGGTGCAGCCTTCATTTGCAAAACCATGTTTTTGATCACGTCTTAGCCTGAATTCTGTCTGATGACTAAGAAACAAGAGAGCCTTTAAACAAGTGGTGATGAGACAAGTGTTTCGTGATATGACTAGAAAGAAAGCTTGCAACCCCGAGGTCACTCCTCAGATCCCTTGTACCAGGCTCTATGGAGGTTCATTAATGTCAAAACTACTTCGGCAGCACAAAACAAAGCCAGGCAGTAATCAATCTAGTGCTGAGGATGTGAGCGCTCACAGCGAAAGATTTCTAAGCATAAAACATGTTCTTGAATTAGCCTGTGAGGGGGGAGCTGTCAGCGACTCTTTGCCAATCTTTGGTTGTTAGGGTCATATATTTTCAAAGTTAAAAAAACAAAACAGATGTACTGAGGATGTAAGGCTGGGTCTGTGACACTGTGCTTTTTGCTCAACTCTAGTGGAGCTCGTTCCGCTTTCAGCTGCAGTTTGCATGAAAGTAAAAAACTACCAAAATTGAACAAAAAGCTTTGAAGAGGCCAAGCAAAGAGAAACACTATTGCTCACTCAAATTTTGGACTCAGTTCTCCTTGTAGACTCAAACTTTGATTTACTATTCTGTCCTTGTTTCCTCCTCAAAGCACAAAGCTCTGTACTCGCTTCCTATTAAATTCAGTCAAGTTCAAAAGTCTTGTGCTCAGAGCCTTGGACGTTCAGCACATACCGCTCTATATAAAAAAAAACCTTTGTTGCTTAGTAATACCAGCAGGAAACTGTTAGTGACAACCGGCCTTAAATGGTAACATTTTGTCTGCATAGTTGCAAAGTGATTTTAAAACAGATAACTAGACTAGATAATGACATTCGTTCCAACCAGCCAATCAGTTGTCCAGTCATACCTTTTCTTATAAATTGGGTTACGTTCACACTCCAG